TAACCATCATTCAGTCAATCTTTATTAGATGTTTCAAGAATTATGAAAATAGCTATAAATATATTGCAGGAGTTTCGAAATTTTGCTTACCGAAAAAAAAGCAAGTTACATTACCCAGAAATTTTATGGTGTAATTTATTTTTCATGTAAAGCCGATTATTTTGATTGGACATCGGAAATTGTCAGCAAATTCGAAAAGCCGTGTAACATTGAACGGTTTCTCCTGTTTGGCTAGGGTACTAATCTACATACTGCATAAATTATGACCTTGATATCCATATCGATAATAACGAAAATAATACTAGCGGCTTTTAGGATTTTGTATTACATAAAATATGTAAAACTTGTCACACCAAGATCTTGGCATTAAATTCGAAGTATGAAATGCAACATTTTCATCGACTATTTTGCATACCGAAAATGTATACAGCTCTCTTGAACTACAAATCAGATTTCAAAATTAGGTGCAATTAGTGTATAAATCTAAATTACAAAATAAGTGTGTAAATCAAAATTTCATATGTAACTTTCCAAAAATATATGAACATGAGCACATTGTGCACATTGATTTTTGTTAGTGTCCTACCAGTAGGTTAACGTTTGGCTTAAAGGACCATAGTTATGCAAAATTTCATAAGGAAAACTTTTAGATAGTACGCAGACGCAACTTTAATAGGCGGAATTTTAAGCTACAAGCGTTTTTTGTTTTGTTGTTTTGATTTTAGTTTCGTCTTCATCTATAGAACTTCTAATCCATAATATTTATGAATGTTTACTAATATGCTTAAGAATGTTTAATTTATATTATTCAGAGACGGTTAATAATATTGCCAATTACAATATTCCAGAATAAGTAATTCATACTTTTTTCTAAATTTTAATAAAAAGTAATTTTAAAAATGTTCAAGCCAGAAATCTAGACACAGATGTGTTTTACGCGTAAGTTTAATTAAATAAGAAATATGCTATTTCTATATTAACACAATTTATTTTTTATTAGTATATTAACAATTAGGTCAGACCAACCAAAATTGGATAGTATGAACAATGTTAAGATTTATGTTTGCAACTCAACGAAATGAAATGTATTTTCTTCATTAAACCAATTAAGATACAAGATTTTTAAGTAATTAACATTATAACAAGGTTAGATTTATGATTGTAACGAAACTTACATTAAAATTTTGTCGGATTTTTTATTTTATTTTTTGCTATGTACAAACAAATGATTTTCACATTATAATGCTTATCGTTATATTTGCATATTGTGAGCCCGATTTTTGGGATCACGAGTGCCCGAATCGAGACAACGATCCCTACCCGATCCAAGGTCACGCGAAAAGTAACAGAAATGTTATTTCTGTTACTTCCGCTACTTCTGCTATTTCGGTTACTTATACGATAAATGGAATATCGACCTTTTATTACATTTAGTTAAGTTATAGAGTATAAGGAATATATTGCATTTATCACAGAAATTGATTACAAATGTAAATAAGACGTTTATTATAAATAAAGGGCATTTTTGCCTTGGGAAGGAGGGAGAATCGTCACATATACCAATAAATCCCCTAATAACACTAAATATCCGACCTCTAATAAAAGTGAAAGTATTACCCTATACAAACTAATAAACTGTCGTTAATCCAACTGTTATCCCTATCGTTCACCAATAATCCACTAAACCCACCATTGATCGTTCGCCATAACTCACATGACCAAGAAGGTCGAAACGTCATAGAAGAGTTCTAACCCTGATTCAACGTAGTGTAATCCCGGGTTGAGGTAGACAAAGAGAAGGCAAAGGTTAATACAAGAATAGGTTGAAGGAAAGACTTAAAGAGGAGACCAGTACTTACCTACGGATAAACCACCAGCCAAATTAACACGCCTATTTTGACTTAGCCGCCATAGGTTACGCGAGAGTTGGATTATTTTAGCGACAGACTTGCCGATTCCCAAATCACAATATATTGATTATAATCATTATAATCAACTTATGTGATATAAGCGATATAATCATTATAAGTGTGATAATGGATATATAGGATATCCGCATCCTAGAAATAGATATAATTTTTCTTATAAATATTAAGTAATTCAGCTTAAGTAAATAAAGCTGATTTCGTATTATAAATATATTGAATTCAGGATTCTTTTATAAGTGACTGTAGAGAATTATTGTTAAAGTATAAACCTATCTGTAAAAAGTTACTAAAATCCCTACCTGTTTTGTCCAGTAGTCCTAACTTAGTGTGGAATACTGCAATTCTTTTAAATAATTAAGTAATAGTCTCAAAGTAGTGTAGACTATCCTTGATAATCTGACCCGAATCGAACCTACTCGCCAAATCTAAATACTTTTTTCAACATGAAGCCGTCTGACTGTTACATGGAGTCGAACTTCAATTAGCGACAGACATGCAGATTTAAAGTATTTCACTACAGTATGCTAAATTTGATGTTTTACCAATATACCAGGTGATGAAAAATCCCTAAACAAGACCTTTTTATTATTTCCGCCAATTGTTTAATTTTATAATTAAAACTGGTGAAGAATTATATCTATCACATTAATTATAGTATTGAGTTCAATGCAAATAATTCTATATTAATTGATTACAATGTGTATAGGATTAGATGTGTAAGATTAATGGCCTCATCTTAATAATAAGCATTGATAAATGATAACAAAAATATGTTATTTAGTATATTGGGCACTGCATAGAGTATCCAGGGTCATATTCAAGAACTTGATTTTTAAAATTAAATAGTACATGATACTATTCATGAACTCAGCAATTGCATTAATGGAGAAGCTGTATTTATATTACTACAATACTTTAGGACCATCTTCCCCTAAAAAATATCACTAACACGTGATCACGTGCGGCGTACCACAAATTCTTTAAAATTTGGTTATGTCTGCCTAGAAATTAGTATACCATATAGTAAAACCACTTAAGAAAGACTTTTTATTAGAGCATGAAAGATTGTTACAAAACGAACGAACATTCTTTTGAATTTCCTGATCATGTTACATTACACTTGATCTTAAAGACATAATTTGTGGCGTCATTAGAGTTTGCCATGTATAATACTATATTTACTGTACACTACGAACTGTACGTTGTAATGGTGGAAAATGGTATACTGCTAAAGACTAGTCTAGCAGGTATTGCTACTATACAAAAACCTAACACGAGAACTATTAAATCTAATAGTATATCTCTTTCTTTCTACACCATAATTGGTAAGGCGTAGATTGATTTGGTCCGAGAATAGGTTGTTTTCTTGATGTCCTAAAGTCTTCTTACTGTGCATTGGGCTTGGGTTTAATATTAATTTCAAATCTGTTATTACCTTTGAATTTCTCTACTAATATCCACTAGTATAATGTTCTATTATTCAAGTACGCCAGAGTTTCAATCAACTCCTGGGTTTCGAATTCGGTGTCACATGTCACAAGGTATGTTTCATATTAATAATACTTGAGTTAATCACTAATGTAATCATTATAATGGTTTTATATAAAAAGGGGTTTAATTACTAACCGATTTTTCTTTTTTACTAATGATAACGGGTCTCTTACGAATTACGGGGACAAGAAAATACGACAAGCGAACGCGATAGTAACGTTATGCCTCAGAGGATACTTAAAGAAACTATTACTGTTCTTATACTTGTGAACTCAAAAAGGGGAATTATCTTTATTTCGATCAAATTATTGAACCTTTATATACATTTTTGTTGTTATAGAAGTTTACTAACACTTCTACATTTCTATCCTATATACCATTACTGTTATAACTGTCATAACTGCTATAGCTGTCATAGCTGTCATAGTTGTCATATCTGACATCTAAAGTAGGTTCTTACTTGATTTGATTTAAACCACCTCGATGTCGAATTTCCCCCTTTCAACGTACTGTACGCTGATCCTTTTTACCAGCCAATCAAATCTGGGTATTATATAAATACTGTAGGCGTCATATTGTAATCATGTGGCAATGAAATTTCTAATACTATTATCATAACCAAAATTACATTTAGGATTACTTTCCTGATTCAATATGATTTTCTTTTATAAGGATATCAAGAATGCAAATTATGTAGCGTAGCAATACGTATATTGAATTTTAGTGAAACAACGTTAAAATAAACTAAACCATTAGAATACTAAAACACTAGAGCGCTAAAACGCTAACACTAAAGACTGGAACATTAAATCACTAAATCGCTAGAATCGCTAGCTCACTAAATTACTAAATCACTAAGGGAAGGGATAGAAATTAATTAATTTCCAGTTACGAACTAGGTGTCTATCGGGGTTTCCCTTATTGATTCAATTCTGATAAGCTAGCTAATTCAATTTTGGTGGCTTAGTATCGGAGTATTTCTTATTACTTCAATTTTGATAAACTTATTGATTTAATTTCGATTATAAAAAAATTTTGTACTTTTGATTTAATTTTGGTCAATTATTTGATTTAATTCTAGTAAAAGCTAAATTTTAAATTAGATTGAATTTCAATTCAAATAACTGAACTTGGGCGAATATTTAAACTTCAAATATTTGAGAGTGTGACCAATCGTGGTGTGTTGAATAATTTGTGTGATAAATAATCTTGTGACGAATAATGATTTTTATACAGAATTTATAATTAATCACTATTCGTCACATAATTATTCATCACACAAATTATTCATCACATAACGATTAGTCACACCTCAAATATACGAAGTTTAAAATACTGTATTTGCCCAAGTTCCGATATCTGAATTGAAATTCAATCTTTGAGAAGAGCACTATATATATTTATTTATTAATTATAAATAGTTATTTTAATATTTTATTCGAATTATAAATTTTTAATAATTAATTATTTATAGAATAATTTATATATTTAATTTTTAAACCACAATATATTTATTAGCATTTGTTTTTAATGTTAGCATTTATATGTATACATAGCAATAGATTTAAATAAATTGATTTTTTAATCATTAAGCTTGTTAAGACTAAGTTCTCTTCGCAACTTTGCTAATTCTAAACTTTCTCTTTCTAACTGCAATTCTTTTTCTCTAATTGCTAATTCTCGTTCTTTAAGAGCTAATTCATATTCTTTTTCATTTACAAATTTACTAGAAGAATCTTCAGTAAGATCAATTTCAATATTTTGTTTCTTCACTTTTTTTTCTTCAGTAGGTAATATAGTTACTTGCTTAGATTTGCCTTTTGATTTAACTTTTTGTTTATTTATTTTTAAAATATTTAAATGAATTTAATAAATAAATATATACTTATTATAAATTTTAAAATTAAAATTAATATACCTGTTCATTTAATTGCTTTTCTTTCTCTAGTAACAATACTTTGATTTTTTCCAGTATTAGGGATTCCATAATTATTTTGTATATTACAATTTATAAAATGCTGTTCATCATATTGTTTAGCTCTAAATTTAAATAAATAAAAATATTAATAAAATAAAATTAAATTAAATTATATAATAATAAAAAAATTTACTTAAGAATTACATTAAATAGTGATAATGCTTTGCCATCTCGATTAATATTTGCATAACATAATTCCGCAACATTAGAATTATCAGGAGTCATATACCAAATATCAAGATTAATAAAAGAATATGCTGGATTTAATGAAGCTTTTACCCAAGATGTTGAATAAAAATTAACCCAATCTATAAAAAATAATATAAATTTAATTTAATTAAAATTATAAAATATAAATACAAATTTAATTTAATTAAAATTATAAATATAAATATAAATTATTTTTATTTATTTACCTTTAATTTTATTTTCTTTTGATTTTAATAATAATTCGAATATTTCATTTACTCTATCAGGTGATGCATCAGGTAATTCATACATTAAATCTTTATTTTGAATTGAATATCTATTATTTCTAATATTTCTTTAATAAAATAAAAATAATTAAAATTAAATTAAATATAATAATTTAAAATAAAATAAATTTTAATATACCGATTATAGTGAATTCTACAACTTTTAAAAATATGTAATAGATGTTCTTCCCAATTTAAAGATTTTTCTAATTTATTTAAAGCAATTCCTAATCCTTTAGCTTGGGCTTGATCCAGATCGCCAATAATACATTTCCAGCCTTCTTTATGTATATGATAAAATTTTGGATTTTCATTTGTTAAATTATATATCCAATTAAAAAATGCTTGAAACATTTGTTCATAAGCATTAGTATTCATAATATTTGTAAATACTCTAGCATATGTAAGTGCTAAATTATTATTAAAAATTAATAAATATTTTATAATTTTAATATTAAGTTTAATTAAATTAAATAAATAAATTTACTGATTTTATAATTCTTATCATAACAATTAATTTCGAATTCATTTATATCACCTTGAACTCGTTTAAATGATAAATCAATTTCAAAATATTGCAATTTTAATCAGGCTTTTGCTTGAGCTTCAGACATACATATAACCATAATATGTCTATTTCCAAAAGCAGCTATAAATTTAAATAATTAAATTATATATATAAATTTAAAAATTTTAAATTATTTAATTCAATACAAATCTGATTGTTGTACATATCCTAATAATTTTTCATTACCAGACCAAATATTATATGTCAAACCTAATATACCTTGACCATATGGGTGTTTTGATTTTTGAACTTTAGCAACTAATCTTCTAAGTTTATCCATATTATTTAATGACGCATGAACTTCAGAAAGATAATCTTTACCAAAGACAGCTTTAATCAAATTATCTATTAAAAATTAAATTAATTTAAATAATTTAAATATATTATTTTTTGAATGTTATTATTTATTCCCAATATAATGCATTACTAATTTATAATTAACTAATTAGAATTTAAAATTAATTATAATATAAAAAGAAAGTTGCTATTTTCACCACTATTTTTGGTAATGCCACTTCCAAAATACATAAAAGTGCTCTGGAAGAGATATTATTATTAAGTAAATCTCTTTTTTGGTATTAATTAAAGTTGTTCATTAGACCTTTCCGGTTCTAATGATGGTAAAATATTAAAATCAGACCAGTAGTTCTTTTTTAAAAGTAGATTAAAGATTATAAACTTTAGATATAAATATTGTAAGAACCACTAGTCCAAACTTAGTGATTTCACCACTATTAGAACCGGAAAGACCTAATGAACAACTTTAATTAATACCAAAAAGGAGGATTATTTAATAATAATATCTCTTTCAGTACACTTTTATATAATTTGAAGAGTGGCATTAGCAAAAATAAGAAGTAAAAATAGCAATTCTCTATAAAACTTATATTTTTTTAAGAAATTACTTATAACTAGCAATATATTATATTAGCAATAAATAATAATTAATATAAAAAATACTTACTACTAATTAATTTTCTTACAGTAATATCCACAAATTGTTCAGAAGATGATTTAATTAATGTTTTTAATTTATTCATTATATCTAAAGGAACTTCTTGAGGTGGAGGTGGAGGATGCGAATGGATTCCTTTACAAACTAATATAATATATGGTGTTTTTTTTAAATCAAATGGGATAATTTTATGAAATTTTACTCCACAATTCATCTTTATAATTTTTCCTTCTTGAAAGCTATTATCGGAATTTTTATGTAAAAATCCTAATTTATATTATATTAAATTATAAAATTAAAATATAATAATTAATTTCTTAAAATATTCTTAAAATTTAGTTAAAATTAATTACCACATAATTTTCTTCTTGAATTTGAAGAAAATATAATATTACATAAATTATCTTCACTAGATTGTAAATTCTTTAAATAAATAATATAATTAGAATTTATAATTAAAATTAATATTATATAATTTAAATACTTACTAATTCTTCATCTAATAATTTTTTTAATAAATAAGAATCAATTTCATCTTTAAGTCGATGAAAAAGATGTGATTCTTTAGATTTCCATCTTGAGCATCCAATAAACCAAACTTCATTTGAATTTTGATTTAGTTTAGATAATTTTTTAACTACTAAATTTCCATTACAATTTTCATTATTAAATGGACAAACTAGATCGGTATTATGTAATGCTAAATATTTTCTATAAGTTTAATTTATTAATAATTAATTTAAATTATAAAATAAATAAAAAATAAAAAATAAAAAATATTATTTACATATAAGTTTTAGCTTCTTTATTTCTTTGAATATTAGCTAATTCATTTGTTGACTGTACAAGATCATTATCCATGTCTACTTCAGAATGAAATTTGTTTTTAATATTTGGATCTAAGTTTTCACAAACTTTTATACCTTGACATGTATAATATGATCGTTTAACAGAGATTTCAAGAAAAGAACAATAAATAATAGCATCACCACCACCACATGGTTTTCCAAGTTTATATGCTTCAAAACTATTCCATGTTTCAATATTATAAATAATAGCAATTCTATCTTCTGAGATAGGTGGATATTCCATAGATAAAACAGTATGAATAATTTCTTTAACTCTTAATTGTTCAGTAATCATATATATTTCTTGATTCATTTGCTGTTCATTATCATTTTCAAGATCAATTACAATAGGTGCTTATAAAAAATAAAATTATAAATTTTAATTTAATAAAATTATAAATTAAAAAACTATTAATAATAAATTAGTTACGCTTGTTGATAAATGGTTATCATATTTATTAATACTTTCTTCAAAAACATCGATTTCATTTTGAAAATCACTAATTGAAACATTATCTTCAGAGCTTAAATCTTTTATTATACTATCAGAAAATAATTCATCATCAGGTTCAAAGTTAATAAGTGTATTTATGTCCATCGATATTTGCCAAATAATACTTTATTTTTAAAAGTAAAATGAAATAAAATTAATTATACAAAAAATCATTTTTATTTAATATTTATAATCAGATGATTAGCTATTACATAATTTAAATTTAATATCGATATCAATATTGTTCCTTACATATTAATTATCTGCATGAATAAATTTAAAAAATTAAAACTTAAGAATTAATATTGATATCAATATATTGTTCTTTACATATTAATATCTGCAATAAATTTAAAAAATTAAAAATTAAGAAAAGTTATTACTAGTTTTGAATTTAATTGAATTATTTATTTTTTTAAATTAATTAAATAATAAATACATCTTAATTTATTTTATAATAAGCTTATTAAAAAATGAATTCAGCTTACACTAAGCTTAACAAAAATAAAGTTTGCTTTATGTCAAGCTTAATAACTGAATTCATATTATGTTGAGTTAACATAAAACTAACTAGATGTAATTATTTCAACTTAAATATAGGTTTAATTTTAAAATCATAAGTACACTCGAAAATAAAATATATATTATTTCTTAGTTTTACAATACTATTGTTTTTTTTTACACATGTCCGTCAATATTTATATATATAATTAGTTTAAATTTTTATAGTTACAATTTAACTAGTTATTGGCACTACTGGAGTTGGATAACTTGATCAATTTGTTTGATATTTAAAATTTATTCGAAAAAATTTATATTGAAAAATATACAGTATATTTAATTAAATTCATGAATATAATCAGCTGTCGAATCAATAAGTTAATAGTCATCCATGATCAGAATCGAATCAGCTGGCTTATCGGAATTGAATCAATAACATAAAGTCTATGATCAGAATCGAATCAGCTAGCTTATCGGAATTAAATCAATAACATAAAGTCTATGATCAGAATCGAATCAGCTAGCTTATCGGAATTGAATCAGCGAGGTTGCACTCGTGTCTATCCGCCTGATTTAACATTAACCAGTGTGGTTCGAAAATCGGCGAGCTGTCGCTAAACTAATCCAACTCTCGCGTAACCTATGGCGGCTAAGTCGAAATAGGCATGCTAGATTTGGCTGGGTGGTTTATCCTTAGGTAAGTACTAATCTGCTCTTCTAAGTCTTTCCTTCAATCTATTCTTTTACTAACTCTTTGTCTTCTCTTGTGATTACTCTTCGTCGAATCGGGGTTGGAACTTCTTCTATTACGTTACGATTCGGTCACGTGACTTACAGCGAGCGATCGATTTACTAACGATAGTTTATTAGTTTATATAGGGTAATACTTTCACTTTTCTTAGGGTTCGGGTACTTAGTTGTATGTAATTGTGTTTTTATTTGGTTCTAAGGGATCTATTGGTATAAGGGATTCGGGATTTAATCGTTCCCAAGGCAAAAATGCCCTTTATTTATAATAACCGTTTTATTTACATTGGTAATTAATTTCTAACATAAATGTAATAGCCTTTATATCATAATTATATTTGATAAAAGGCCGATATCTCATTTATCTCATAAGTAATAGAAATAGCATAAGTAACGGAAGTAAGAGAAGTAACAGAAGTAACATTTCTGATATTTTTCACGTGACTTCGAATCGGGTAGGGATCGTCGCTTCGATTCGGGCGCCCGTGATCCCAAAAATCGGGCTCACACCAGTTAAATTTAATTATGATTCTTCTAAAAAAATCAGCTGATTCTGTTCCTTCCCTAAAAAAAACGCCAAAACACTAAATTACTAAATCAAAAAACATGCACTTTTGTGTGTTCTTTGTTTGAATCCAAATATGGGGCAAGAATACTGATATTTATATCTGAAACTGACAGTTGTCACAAACATGAACTTAAATAAACTTTTCCGAAAATATAATAAAAAAACCCAAACTTCAGATTTAATGCAAATTTGAACAGATAGAAGTTAATCACAACAATTATGTGTATATACATACTTATAATGCTCTAAAAAAAACGGGAAACAACGCAAATTAGCGATATAATAGTGTATCTTCGACCTATTGTTTTGTATCACCAAACTAGCCGAAACCGATCCAAAACCTTTCTCCAAATTATTTTCACTGAAATGAAAAACATAGAAGGACGATACCTATTCACATCATTATGCTAATTTGTGTTGATTTATGTTTTTTTTCTTGCGCAGTACATACATATTAACATACTTGGTTTGAAACATCAACTGTTACTCATAATAATAAATAAAAATGACAACGGAAGGTGATGCAGGTCTATCCAAACAATTGCATCATTAATTGGGCGCACATTTCATGCATATGTGGTACATACACTATAAATCTGAATCACAATCGTATACGCATAATTATAAGTTGCATACAAATACTTTTCTTTTTTTTTTACTCTCAGCATATAAAATTTTATCGAAAAAATTTCAACACTAATAAATTCACCATATACAGTATTATAGAATAATTAACAAAAATATCTTTCCTAAATCCATATAATAAATAAAATATGGCACATGTTAAAGATTTAATATCGGTTTTTTTCTGTTTACTCATCCTTTCCTCTCTAACATTTTTTACAATAATTTTGAAGGACATTGCAAATGATAGTGAAATAATAACATTGCGGAACAAACATACAACATTTCAGAATAAAATGAATACGGAAAGGATTTACATGAAAGAATTTAATTACTTAGAATTTGATGCATTATATCGAGACTATGCTAAGAAGCATAATCAAATTATTGGTGATTTATTAAATCCAAAACTTAAGAAGAAAAAACTTCCAAAAGTCGTCGTTGTGCAACCTGATATGAGAACTGGTTATGGAAATCGTCTTGCTGGAATAGTTTGTGGCTTTTTATATTCAATTGTTTCTGATAGGCTTTTTTTTATTGAAGGTTACAAACATTTTGATGAATTTTTTTTATTGGATTTCGATCATGATTGGAATGTTATCAAAAAATTTTATTTCAAAAATACTTCAAGATATTTACATGACGTTCATAAAGTAAATGATTTTAAATTAATAACAAATGGTAATTTTAAAGATGTTGAATCTTTTGATATTTTATATGTTCATACTTGGGATTACGTCTGTGCTCCTTTAATGTCAAATCCTCATTACAAAGATTGGATTGGTAAATTAATACCTGATTATAGAATTTTCACTGCAATTAGTTTAAAATTATTTAGATTAAAGTTGGATTTTGTCGATCAAGTAAAAAATTTTATAGACAATAATTTTGCTGAACATAATATAGGCGTTCATATAAGAACGAAAAAGGCTTTACATAACTTGGAGATTCCTATAGAACATTATTTTAATGTTGTAAGAATGCTTTTGATGGGAATTGAAGGAAAAAATATTTCTGTCTTTATTGCATCTGATACAAATGAAAGTCGTGAAAAATTAGCAAATTTACTTGATTCTACTAAATACATTAACAAAAATACTGTTAATATTGTTTATGTGGAAAATGATATGAGAATTTATAATCCCTGGACTTTAAACCCTGGTACTGAAGCAAATGCTCTTATCGATATGAAAATTCTTAGCTTTTGTGATGATCTGGTGATTACTTATGGTTCTTCTTTTGGCTTTATTGCTGCTGGTTGGTCTTATACTGCTATTACTCGTCAAAGAGGTCCATTTATCTTAATGCCTGTGCAAAAATCTCCTCCTAATTCTTTTTTGACTGAAGATAAAGTTTTGGTATGGGGTGCTGGTTCAAGTGAACCATGTATGTATTTAAGTAAATTGTTGATTAGACAAGAGGATAAAGAAATTGTCGATATTTTTAAAAAAAATCCATTGTGGATGCATTATAGTCAATGTCATTGGCCTACATAGGTACTGTAATTAAAAGATATTATATGTGATTCATTATGAAATTTTTAACTTATTAATTAGAAATATGGAATTGTTAAATAATTATCTCGAAAAAAGTATCAATAAAATGGTAGGCATAATCAGTAATTAATTTTATATCATTCAATTTATTATTTTTATACATTCAATTTATTATTTTTCAATTCAATGCAAATACTTTTAGTTTACTCCAAATACTCTATTTAGCTCGAATCTCATTTAATATTGATACTTAAGATAGATTAACGATCAACAAACATTCGACACAATAGATTATATGGGGTACATAAGGATACATAGGGTTATCAATCAGATTAAGTTAATACAAAACTGGTAATTAAGAACAGTAGAGGTTAATTTGATATATAGCAAATTTCGCAGGATCGTTTTTAATTAATGCGCAGAAACAACTTTACAGTCAAATTAAGTTACCGACAATAATTTGCTAATAATATCTATTAATTAATCAGTTTTTATTAAAATTGGGGTAGAATGGAGAGAGCGAAGTAGAAGTCTTTCCATATTCTACTAAATTCAGACAATTTTCGGGTTCTGATTTTGTAATAAGATAAATTTTGATTTCGAACTATTGATATTTAGGTATTTAAGAATGTACGATAATGAGATCAGTTCTTAAGCGTTTTTGATTGATTATATTAGAAAACTTAAAAATATCAGGTTACTTTACAAGATGTTAAATAACGATCAGGTTATGATCGAAAATATCAATATGTTGGAGATAAGTCATGGTATCATAATTCAAAATTCTCAATTTTAATACTATGTAATCTAGGATTCTAATTACTTGAACAAAGTTTTTCCACACATCAATAGTCTTCCATTATTGGTGCTTAGTTAAAGTAATTTAGATAGTTTAGTGTAGTGTTTTTAGTGAGGTATCCAAATTCTGACCTGTATTCATTCAGACGAACTTTACACTTTACATTCTTAAGTTGTGGCATTCAAAATTATCCCCGAAAGTGCTCCTTGCCCGAAGATTAGGTAAACAAAATTTTTTAATCATTCAAATTTTCTTAAATATTGTAAATTTAAGAACTAGTACAAATTGAGTAAGTTTTAGGCATAGTGCAAGTAAATAAAATATAATAACAATTTAAATATTAGCATATGTAATTAAATCTGCTTCAAACCTCGTAAATTTCTAAAAAAGGTGTTTCGCAACCTTTCCTAATTATTAAGAATATATTTGTTATAAATCTGTGACTATAATACTCGTAATCTGAACTTGTGATTGGGCTCGCTAAAAATTTTAACTCCGGGTTATCCACCCGTTTAAAAAGCCATAACCGGTTACAAACCGGATAACCCGGTTGACCCGGTTAGAAAATATATATTACGTAATATTTATACCTACCACTGTCCATTTTCCAGCTTAGTGTGAGCCGTGAAACGTGATCCCGGAAGCACGTGGAAGGAGGTGATCGAGGTGGCGCAGTAATAACTAACCTAGTGATGGCAATGCGCATGAAATTATAGAATCATGCCATGATTTTTATAATGCTGGCAGATAATATGAGCCGGGAATTTTCAATAGGTTTCGGAATATTCCGAAAACTCAAAGATTCCGAATAATTCCCATGCGCATGAAATGAATTTGCACATCACTACACCTACCTAATATGGGCTTCCCGGGATTATCGATCTTAAAAGTCGTATAGAGTCTTTAGCAATTATAAGGGTAATAGTGGTAATAAGGGAAAATTATAAGAAAAGGGATATATTATATTTAGGGGCTTTAAGTAATACAGGACATTAAGAATATATACTTTGAATAATAAGTTTAGTATGTTTAATAGCTGTAGAAACGCATATGTAATATAACAGTATATAATAAAGGCTTCGAGCCCTACCTGAGCAGGAGTTTTCGTGCTTGCAATGTATTTCGACCCAAATACTTTCCTGCTTTCGTGACAATATATTATAAAACCTACTATCATAAACACACCACTCTCCAAATCTAACCGCCTCTTATCGACTAAGCCGTTCGTAGGTTACATGACATATCCATCTTTCAAGCGACTGACTCGCCGTTTCGCCCATGTCAATAGTTTGTAAGACCATCACATTCTGACTTTGATTTATGTATTTATAGCTGTTCTCATAAATTTTAGGACAACTGATAAATAGATCGACCGAATTAGATAAATTTTTGAATTCGCTGTTATCGAATAAGGTAGCCGTGCGACGCAGTCGCGCTAGAAATCAGGAACGAAAGCAAATATAATGTGAGAGTCGAAACCGTGACCGATATCACGTGCCGTAAATCCCGAATGTCAGAAATGTCAGATATGTCAGATATATTTGATATATCTGATAAATCTGATATATCTGCTATATCACATAAGTGTGATATATTAAATAAATGCAATATATATGATAAATTAGATATGTTTGATATACTAGACAAGTACATAATGTAAATAGGCAAGACAGTTTATTATAAATAAAGAGCAATTTTCCCAGACTAAAGGATAGCAATTCCAATTATGAAACATAAACTATCTACCCAACCCATAATTAAAGTGAAAATTTTGTCTCATAAAAGCCCAGTAACTATTGATAAATTGTCACCTTAATGATGAGCAAATCTCTTAAGTCTTGAATTTACACTGGAAGTATTGAGAGATATTCTTGATGATATCAAGAAGGAGGAAGAACTCATTCCTCACAGTCATTACTGCTCTGTATCTTGTAAATATCATACTGCAAAGATCCATCATATCTCTATATGTTCATCTAATATCATCTATAAAGAAAAAGAATCTATTCATACTGAAAGTTCTCTTAAGGTCTTGACAATTAGCACTTGTCATACTTGATGTCTACTACAATCCTAATTAATATGCAAAAAAATATTATAAAAATGTTACCTCTGATTTTAAAGAAAGAAAAGTTGATTTGAACCTCCTTCTTTAGCAACTAGTTGATGAATATAAAGCTTTTACATGAAAGTGAGTTCCAGAAGAAATTGATGAACTGTCAATGATAAGAAAGACTCTGAAGTAGATGAAAATTGGTCAGATGATGAACCTGATTCTAATGATGATGATAATGTTGATATGATATATAATGAAGATGATGATAGAATTAGAGTTAAAAAGGACAAACAAAAAGTATTTGAATATTTTCAGAAAGTTACTAAAAATATAGATCAATGCTTTAAAGTGACAAACTTGGCTGAAGTTTGTAAAGATTGGAATTAAAGAGTTGATAGACTCAAAAAGTTGATTTAAGAAGATCCAAAAGTGATAAATAAACTAGCTGAAACCAAAAAAGATATGACAAAAATTAGTAAACAAAGTTATCAAACAGTTGCGAAGTTTAGTAATGCCAATAAAATGTTTAAGGTTAATAGACATAATGAATATAAAACTAAAGCTGAAGAAAATGAAGCAAGTGAATGGTATTTAAAACATGCAGAAGGTAGTAATAATACTAGATGATTTTGCCTAATAAAATAGAAGAAAAATTGTAGGAATCAGAAAAACAGAAGTAAGATAAAGATAAAGATAGTTAGAAAAAATAATTAAATCTATCTTTTAGAAGAAGTTATTATTAAAAAAAAGACCAATAAAGTTGAAACAATGTTGCTTAAACCAGAGTCATTGCCAAAAAAGAATAATGATAAAATAGAATGAAAATTTAAAAAAAATAATAATAATAAAAAAATTTAAATGTTAGAAAAATGGATTAAAAATAAAAAAACTAAAAACAAAGAGAAAACTTATCTCTAGTAATCATTCTATAAAGTAATCCCACTACTGAAGGATTAAAGCAAAGAAATTAAAGCTTTTATGATACTTCTATTTTTACAATTAAAGAAAAGAATAAGAGTTTATATATAATATATATAAATTAAGTAGATAAGAATGTAAGATCTGAACCATGATCGATATTATGTGCTATAAATTTCAAATATTAGAAATGTCAAATATGTCAGATATATTTGATATATTAAATATATTGCATAAGTGTGATATATTAAATAAATAATATATATAATAAATTAAATATATTCAATATACTAGACAAGTATATAATATAAATAGACAAGACAGTTTATTATAAATAAAGAACAATTTATCTAAGCTAAAAAACAGTAATTCCAATTGCAAAACATAAACTACCTATCTGACTTATAATTAAAATGAAAGTGTTGTTTTATAAATCTTAGTACTATTGATAAATTTTAGCACTAACACTACCTCTTAAGAACACCAAACTTATAATTGAACACTTATTATAGTCATATGTCTAGTAAACTATAATAAAGAATAGAAGAGTTTCAACTCTAATTTGATATAGTAAAATCTTAGTTAAGACAATAAAGAAGACAAGAATTAGTAAAAAAGTAGATTAAAGAAAAACTTAATAGAGAAAAAACTAGTACTTATTTATGAATAATAATTTACTTACCAAATCTAACATGTCTGTTTTAACTTAGCTGCCATAAGTAATATAAGAGTTAGTTTAGTTTAGTAACAAACTTACAGATTTCTAAAATAACAATAGTAGTTACAAAAACCTAATTAATATACAAATGAAAACTTATTTATGGTTTAACTTAAAACATAACAACAAATAAATATATGTTGGTATTTAACAAATTTGGCTTTAAAAGAAATAAAGATAATAGAACATGTGCAAATTGAAGTAATATAACACATCTTATGCTTTGTATCAATATGTGATCTTCAGAAGACAATACAAAGATGGACAAGTAAAAATAATAATATCAACAATTGTATTAAAAATTATTACACACATGTGGCATATTTATGTAGAAGCATTTGACTATTTGAGTCAGATATTGAACTTTATTAAATAGATTTTATTGATAATATATTGTAGCAATATATATCAGTATGATTAATGTATAAGCTAAGACTGTCTATGCTCTCAGAAATAGTAATTATGATTTTCATCAGATATAACCATCATCAGCATAATTCATAATATGT